AGTGTTACTACCCTCCCCCAGATTCCATTTTGCAGACAGCAGCGTGTTCTTTTCGACCTGGCCTCCCGAGACCCCCGCCCTGCCCACCCCCCCCGAGCTTCAGGTTAAATCATCAATTTCTATCGTGGTGAACCGGCCCGCTGCAACATCAGCGGTGTGCCGTGCAAAGGCTGCGATCTGACTCCCCTACCGGCGCCTCAGTCATCGTGCCCGGCTCCGAAGCCAACCATCAGCCGAGTAGCTGATCTCCCTGCTCCTCCTCGAAGGGCAGCGTCTCGCTCCGGGTCTCCGCCTCTCCCGGAAACCTTGGTCCATGCAGCTACCTTTGAACCCGCGAAAGCGCTGCAGAAAGCCTGGGTGATGGGATTTTTTCCTCTCTTCGCGAGAGCTTACACAAGCCATGCCTTCATCCGCGAGGTAACATAGCCAGTCATAACAAGTCACCAATTGTTCCTATTCCCAGAAAGGTGGGGATGGCTCAGCAATGTCTCCAAAGGCCTCGACTCTCGATTTTAAGCCCCCAGCTGATGGACAAAACACACGGTCTTTCATCAAGGCGTCATGCACAGGCCTTGGCCTAGGCCTAGACATCATGCTGCATGCCGTGCGTCCGTATCTTGGGGCAGCATTTCACACGTTTCACAAAGAATACAGCGACTCTCCAGTGCTTGTGGTCACACTGCAAGTTGATAGAATACGTGATCTTGGGGGGGCGCGGAATGGGCACTCGGCACGTTGCAGAAATGCGATGCGCTTCAAGATGCGACACTCATGCTGCTCGGCGGGGCACGGTGGAGTCATCAGAGCTTCCAGCGGTATTTCCGTGATGGACCTCCAGGGGCTGCTGCTGGGAGGATTTTGGACTGGAGTGCTGCTCTGCTCTTGCCAGGCACCTGGGAGGGCTCTCCCCATGCATCCATGCCACGAGGTCGTTCCTGTTATAGAACGCCTGACAAGCACGCGGCGCATGCGGCAGCGAGAATTTCCCAGGCTTGGCCCCGCGACTGCGCTTCTGGCCTTGGGAGGCTGCTCTCCGTCGAAGTCGCAGGGGGTCCTCAAAGAAGCGTCGCTGAGGCGCTTAACATCGTCATAGCCAGTCTCCATCCGCGTCACGCAAACCCCTGGTGAAAGTAAGGCATGTCCCCGCGTGCCCCTCGGAGTCGGTTGCGCAGTGCGCGCCGGCCACTTGCCAGCAGTGCGCTGCGATACATTCGACGTTAAGCCCCCGGCTGATGGACAGGCAGTGCATCGCCACGGTTTCCAGGCAGCTCGCTGCTGCGGTTTGATGGCGATGGCCTCGCAACAGCGACATCTTGCAGAAATCTAAAGTCTGAGGCATGGCTTCTATCAAGGTGATAGATTTTGTTGTGCGGAATGGGTACCCGGGGCATGGTCCTGAGCAACGAGGATTGTGCTGAGTGCACCGTTTCCATAGCTGGCTCAGCCGAAACCGCAAAGAAACAACATCTGCGGGGCAATGCCTGCAGAATTGACATCGCGTGCCGACAGGCTGCATCTTGTCATCGCGCATGAGCTCCGTGACCCTCTCAAGCTCCTGGCCCTGGATGCGAAGCCTTGAGGGACGCTGTATGAGGATGCAAGGATGCAAGCGTCGCAGAACAAACACAGTGGGATCGCGCCAGGCCTGTCCCTGAACGGCTAAAGCTTCAACAACTTGTTATTGGGTCACCCTGTTAGGACTTCCAAGCATCGAAGCAGGCTCCTGGATGAGACCTGCTTATGTGCGTGAAGCTCTATCGAGGTAGGGCCGCCGCTTGTGCACCAAGATGGAACTCCAGAGGCCACGAATCGAAGCAACTGCAGTTGAGAAGCGCTTCGTGCAGCTTCTCGTTGTCAATCCGAAGGGCCTGGTTGTCGATGCAAAGATCGTAGCGCCTGAGCGAGGCTTGCACATCATGCCTTCCGGCACAGTGTCGCAGTAAGACTACCTCATCCTTCATGCATACTGCTGAAGAACAGCTCGGCGGCTCATTCAGCAGCAGATCCTTCTCCTTGATCAACTCGCTGATCTGCTCGACCAGAGACCAGTAAGAAGGCGAGCTCCACCTGAGTTTTCTCAGCTGGAGTTCCATGTAGATGCCAGCTACACGGCTGCATGCGACGGGCTGAAACCTAACTTTGCAGCTGAGTTTCTTCCGGCACGAACCGTATTCACCAGAGGACAAGCACGGTCCTGGTGTAGCATCCCGCCACATCTCCCCGCCAGTCGGAGCTGCATTCCATGCCATCGGCGACGATGGCATTCTCGACCTGAATCTCTTGTATGGGGTTCCCTGTAGATGTTACCTGCATGCAACGGACTGGAACCTGTTTTCAGCTGAGTCTCTCCGAGGGCCAACAGCACTGGCCAAAGGACTGGTAGTCATCACGAATCAGCCCATGCGGCCACATCTCCACGCCAGTCGGAGCACCACTGCATGGCATCGGAGTCATGATGCCGGCTTCACGCAAGACACTTGGACACGTTGCTGTGTGGAAGATCTTGGCATGTGCCACGAATGCACATCTGCTTTGACTTACTCAACAAGGCTGAGCACTGTCTGGGGCAACAGATCGAAACGAAGCAAGTCTAACTCTGCAAACTGGACGGTTCCGAGGCGCAGGCGCCCGTCCAATCTCACGCCATTTGTCAGACATGGCCTTCATCGCGGGGTTTTCCGAGGTGTCATGAGGTGTCGGGTGAGAGACGAAACTTCGGAAAAAGTCCAAGCCCGGGGCAAAAGTCGGGAGCCGAAATCTTTGCCGGTGGGATCGCTCCAAGAGACAAGGTGCGCCAAAGAGGAGCGGGTGAGCGCGCAGCCAGCAAACCGCAACAATAAGCACCACATCGCCAGCACCATCAGCGCCATCCATCATCCCTCATCCCTCATCCGTCTTCCATCATCTATCATCCATCATCACCCATCACCCATCACACATCACACGTCACCCATCACCCATCACCCATCACCATCACCATCCGCATCGTCATCGTCATCATCAGCATCATCATCCATCACACCATGCATCATCCATCATCCGTCAACATCATCATCACCATCATCAGCACCAGCAGCACCACCTCCTCCTCCTCCTCTGCCTCATCCTCATCTTTACACCCGATACTATGCAAGCCGGAAAGCCACGAACGCTGACATAAAGCACCCTCCTCAGAAGACCGCACAGAACCCGTTTTCAAATCCATTAACGTGCCATCAAAACATTTGCGACTCCCCATGGCAACCTTCAGCTGCAGCTGGTGTGCAGGAGAAACCTAACGTCAATCTGCCAATCTGAGGGACTCTTCTCGAGAATCCGCGTGTGGTGTCGTGCTTCTGAGTAGGTGCGAAGAGGATCGTCATCAGCCAGCCATAGCAACCTTAACCTCCAGATCACGGCCTCTTTGGGATAGTCCGCTTCCGTCAGCAGTTCGACGAGCAGGGACACCCACTTCTGACGCTGAGTCTTGCTCATCCTACGCAATGAGATCCCAAGAATCTGACCACAAAGCTTACGTGCGAGGGACGAGTTAGTGTTTTATCACGATCATGGAAAACAAACAAGGAACGTGTTTGTTTAGGCAGAAACGTTTTGCTGCATTGAGCATGTGTGATGTGCCTGCATGTGAACGTTGCTCAAGTCGGAGCCGGGCAGAAAATTTCGAAAGGAAATTTTCGAGAGGGGAGAGTCCCACAAGTGGACCGGGAAGGGTCCTCAAAGAAGGAAGGTTTGCGGTTGTCTCCTCAGCGTGCGAGACAACAATATTTGTGTCGTTGAAGAGTGTAAGCGCGTGATTGCAATGGCATCAGATCAAAGAGATTCTGCTTCGGATATCCACAAGCAAGTGACAGTCTCAGACGGGGTTTTTCCTTGCAAGCTTCGTTGCATAGTCGCTCTTGACCGGGTGTTGGGGCCAACGATCAGCTCCACCCTACTGCTCATGCCTCAGAGAGAGAATGCACGCAGTGTTCGCACCGACACTGCAGGCGCAGTATTACAGGTTAGAAAAGGCATAGCTCTTTCCCGGGAATCCGTGCTCGCCTCAAGCCATGTGCAACAAGCGGAGACACGTATGAGCATCATGTCAGTGCTCAGATGAAAAGAAAGGCAGGTGAGGCAGACCTGCCCTGGGACACACCTCACGGATACATTTTCCGAATGCAGGTACAAGCGAATGATCGTATTTCTCATAACACGGCCGTCACGCTCGACATCCAGCTTAGTTGCAAGGACATTGTGGATCAAGCGAAGTGGCTTGTTGCTCAAAGACTCTTCGAGCTGTTTGGTCGTTTTCCGAAGTTGAGTTCTTTTCACCTGGTTCAGGACGGCAGGCACCTTAGTTTTTCAGCGCCAGTGCTTGTAGCGAATACGCTATCACCTGTGATCTTCGTGCGAAATGCCTAAAAGCAGGAGTCTGCAGTATGTGCTCTGCGGTCTTGCTTCCGTCGCAGAGAGTTCCAAGTGACCGCAGTGGCCCATCTGACATCAAGCCGCACAAGGCGAATCCGAGGTCCCCGGTGTCGCATGGAAATCGACAGCTCGGATTACAGCGGCGATAGCCCAAGTACGCTCAGTCTCGTCAGCAGACATGTTACTGAGCTCGAGCGCCGAATTTCCACCATCCAGGCGCATGTTAGAGCGTGCGAAAGGAGGATACTCATTCTTGAACATCGCGCAGAAGCAGTCGAACCTGGCACCCCACTCAACGCCCAGGGTTACTTGCCCTGGTTCATCAGATGCTGCTGGAGCCGCGCACTGCCCTGACTCACCATCAGGGTATGTCTGCATCATCAAGGCAATCGACAGGCAGTGGGTCGGTCACTGAGAGAACACCTGCGGTCTCCCTGATGACGCGAGTTTGAATAAGCAAAAGTGTGCGTTTCTAGTGCTCCAGAGTATTGTGCAGTTCTGTCAGGCATCCCAGCGGAGATGTGTTTGTCAGGGACAGCTCCAGGAACAACCCGTAGACTGCAAATGTAGCCGTATGCAGCTCAGACACCATGTCGGCAAACAGTGAAGAGGTTTTTGAGCGGGATGAAGACATGTCGTCCTGGAGTTCGGCGTTCGCGCCGGTCAGTAAACCAGCAGATTCTCCGAAGAGCAAGCGCAAGAAGCATAAGAAGCGGAAGAAGGTGAAGAAGAGACACTCCACGACACAGGAGCGCAGGCGATGTGACAAAGAAGAGACCAAGAAGCGAAAGAAGAAAGAGAGGAAGTCGGCATCAGTCCCGGAAGATGCCGACAATCGGGCAGAGCAGTTGCCCTCCTCCAGCTACACCGCCCGAGACCCTCAGGAGCAGGAGGGTTCAGCCCACGAAGGGCTTCCCGCCAACTTGGGCAGGTGGGTCTTCCATGCCTCTTGGGAACCGACAGAAGAAGGAGACCAGCCGGAAGCGCCTCCCAAACGCAGTCCGGGGAGAGCAGCTGCGAAGATGCTGGTTCGCGCCGGCCTTCGCTGTAAATGTCATTTCGCTCTCGACTGCCCCTCTCGAGAAGGCAACAGGCACGGTCCCCAGAAGTCACTTCCTGTCGTTTTCAGACACATTCCTTGAGCAACTCTGGCCCGCGAGGGATCGCTAACACGGGCAACTCGTGTTCGAGGCCAATGCAGTGACGTGCAGGGCTGGGAGAGTTTCCTGCGTGAGCAAGACGCACCCTCGCAGAAGCCTATGATGTTTATGCTACTCGAGCCGGCTCAAGAGCTTTCAGTTTTCACCTTCGTTTCACCCTCCGTCTCACAATGGTGACGCCACTCAGCTTCGGCGCATCGCCCTACCTCCCCACTCGCATGGGCAGAGGTCGCAGAGACGACTCCGACTCCTCTGACAGTGAGGAGATGATTCCGACGATCTACGGGCTCATGCCCATGAGGCGAAAAGCTAAGAAGAACCGCAAGCACAAGAAGAGAAAAGAGTCCAAAAGAGACCGACGCACCAAGAAGAAGGCGTCGAAGAAGCGCGCACCCAAGGCAAAGAAGAGCTCGTACAGCTCTGAATCCTCCTCGTCCTCGTCTTCGCCGGAACGCCGCCGCCACAAGCGCAAGGAGCGTGCGGAAGCCGCTCCCTCGAGCCACAAGGGGGAGTCTTACCACACACCGTCCTTTACGAAGGACCATTCCTTTGGAAGTGGCAAATGGGGCGGACAGAGCTCCGGGTGGAAGCAGCCAGGCTGGCACTCGAACAAACAATGGCAAGCCAAGTCTTGGCAGCCCAGAGGCTCCGGCAAGCCCTGGAACACTTGGACGGCGCATGAGAAGGGTTACCAGTGGAAGCTCCCCGAACAGGAAGAAGAAGCCGAAGATAGGGAGGAAGCTTCCATGCAGGAAGCACTCATGAAGAGTGCAATGGAGGAGGCGTGGTCCGACCGCACTCGGACTTTGTCCTACAGTGAACTCCCGGCGGATCAGCGCGGCCCCCCCTACAAAGAAGTCATGGAGAATGTGGAAGCTGATGACATCGAGCGCATGGCCGCGCGGATCAAGGAGCACTCCCGCCTCCCGGAGGCAATGATCAACTATGTGTCCCGGTTCCTGGCCTCCCTCCCCGACGGGACGCTGCCGCAAGAGTTGAAATGGGCGCAGCATTCAGGATCGCATTTCTCCGCCTCGATCCTCGAACTGGAGCTTAAACCCGACATCGCCGCGCCGGAGCAGCTCCAGATCCCGGACCCCGTCCACTCGCAGAGTCTGACGGCCGCTCACGGCACGAAGTGGTCCTCGGCTCACGGCATTTTGAGCCAAAAGATCATCCGCCCTCAAGCAGCTCAGACCGACCAGTACCCGCCATACGGGTTCTTCGCCCGTGGCAGCTGCGAGCAGTACTCCTCGCACACGGCAATGAAGGCCCTGGAAGGGGTTGCGAGGAAAGCAAAGGCCTCGGGAAGTGGCATCGCAATTTTGGTGTCCGCAAGGGCACACGCGGTCCAACTCTTGGAAGGAGGCGTGGGCAAGCTTCATGCAGCTTGCAGAAGAGACTGGGCGGCGCGATCCTCATCGGACCAAAGTCTGTGCATCAGGTCGGAGGGCGCGACCATAAAGGCCGTGGCGTTCATGTGGCCGCGGTAGTTGCCTCCAAATCTTTTCATCTAGTTCAGTCCGAGGGACTCGAACGACCTCGGGAGATTTTGTTGTCGGGGCTCCCGGGATGATGACGAACTGCGCAACCACCGCCGAGAAAAGAAGCCGAAGCTGCCGCTTGGCTTGGAGATTGCACCCACTGAAGCGAGCATACTCCTTCGGATCATCGGATGCTAGGAAACTTGATGCATTCCCAAGGAAGACCGCCCGCGCCTCAGCAACGTCAAGCCGTACTTGAGTCATGTAAGGGTTCCAAGCATCGAGTGTCAGGAAAGACAGTGAGGGAGCATCCCAGAGAAACTGCCCACAGAAGGGCGAAACTGGCCCCGAGTGTGCCGCGGTAAATCGCTCTGGGAGTCAGAGCTGTGACGTTTCGCGAAGAAGCAAGCTTCGCTAGAAGTCCTCCGAGCAGAGGAAAACGCAGCGGGGAGATCCGCAAAACTCGCCGTCGCATGTCGCAGTTGTTTTCTGCTGAGCCTCTTGCCGTGTTGCCTTTGTCCGTGCAATTTCCTCGTTTGTCCCTGCGTTCTGCTCGAGCAAGCCGTGTCACAGTTTTGAGCCACGCTGAAAGAGAATGTATTGCCAGGACGGGCCGAGGAGCCCTTGCTAGATCACGAGGTGGAGTAGCCTCACAAAGAAGCGAGCCTACGGCATTTAGGGAAACTGACAGGTGTGTCGTGTCAGTCTCACCCAGCAGCATGGCGGAAGAGAGTGAAATCGACAGGCTGCTCGATTTGGAGCGGCTAGCAGAGTTGGAAGATCCAGGTGAGTTGGATCAGTGGCCAGAGCAGGAACGGCCCGAAGCAACATTAGCGCTCACGCCAGCTGAGTCAGAGCTTTTCTCTGCATCGGCCAGTGCCCGGCCCCAAAACCAGCAAAGTTCGCCGAGCGGCGTGCTTCAAGGGCGCGAGTACGAGCAGGCCCTGCAAGGCTGCTTGTTGAGGGCTGCTAAACGGCCAAGAATAGTCATGCCTTGGGAGACCCCCTTGATGCGGGACATTTTTGGAACCACTGAGCCCCCGGTCGTGGTGCCGCAAGCTCAGTTACAAACCACAGCCCCGCCTTCCGAGCCGGACCGAGACCCGGGCGAAGCCATTGGCAAGATACTTATGCCACCCAGAGCGGGGGCGTCATCCGCTTTGTCGGCAGTCAAGAACCGCCCCAACGTGAATTTCCCCAAGAGTGAACAAGCTTCAAGACTGAAGGGAATCTCTCTGTGGTGCGACGTCATAGGGGTCGCTCCACAACACTTCGGCATCACCAGGCACGTCCAGCTATCGGACGAAGACAACGGCGGCCAAGTCGCCACCGAGCTTTTCACGTGTGTCGATGCAGTGATGGGGGTCAAAGCCCCATCCACCATCAACTCTAGAGGGATGGTTGTGAAAAGGTACCTTTATTGGTGCACGCAGAACGACAGGTTAGCATGGCCGATGAAGGAAGCAGTGTCGTTCGATTATGTCCACCACCTCAAGGCACTTGGTGCTCCAACCGCTCCGGCCTCATTTCTGCAGGCGGTAAACTTCATGATCTACACGATTGAACCCGAGGGAGCAACGGCCATCATTTCCAGCTTCCTGATTCAGGGAGTGGCTAAGCAAGCCTCGAGCAAGAAGAGACCATTGAAGCAGGCGCCGGCGCTTACCGTCGCCATGGTACTGCGCTTGCACGCCATCCTCAGGAACACATCTGAAGGAGTTTTTGACCGGCTAGCTGCAGGACTCATGCTCATGTGCGTGTATGGACGCTGCAGATGCTCCGACCTCAGACACATTGAGGAGATATGTCTGGACATTACAGGGAGGCACGGCTTTATCGAAGTCCGGACGGAACATCACAAGACAGCCAACAGAGAAAAGAGAAGGCTCCTGCCCATCGTAGCTCCAGCCTTTGGAGTCACAGACGAGAACTGGGCCGAGCAGTTCCTAACCTTACGGAAGCAAGTCCTCGGCGAATTTGCGCCCGGGCCATTCCTCCCCGCTCCTCTTTCTGACGACTCCTTCTCTGAGCGCAGCCTCGAGAGTGACGAATTCACGTCGTTGCTGCGCTACCTACTAAGGCAGCTGGATAACGTAGAAGATCTCACGTCTCACAGTTGTAAGGAGACGGTGCTGGCATGGATGGCCCGCTTCGGGGCCGACAAACCCACCTTGGAATTCCTAGGTCGGCACGTGGGGAGCATTACGTCGAGCGACGTGTATGCCAGGGGGATGCAATCCCGGCCTCTGCGAAAGCTCGCGATGGCTCTAAACGCCATACGGGCGGGTACATTCCTGCCCGATGAGACAAGAAGCGGTCTCTTCAGGTCCCGCCAGGACAGCCGGCCCATCGAGACGGGCATTAACTCCCGTGGGGAACCATCAGAAACGACGTCTGCCTGGAAGGTAGTCTCGAACGAAGAAGAAAGGAGTCCTGCCTCTCCTGATCGAGACCAGGAAACAGCATCATTGCCGTCGGCAGCACCAGCCCCGGTGTCGGAGGAGGAAGCCAACAGCGGTGCTGAGGTTCCAAAAGAATCCGGTGCAGGCAGCACGTCGGATTCCTCGGACAGCTCTTCCTCAGAGTCGGAATCACAATCTTCCCAAGAATCAGCAGTCATGCCTCCGCCGGGGGCCGGCAACTTGTTTTTCCTGAATCCTAAAGGGAAGGTCCACATACTGGCAAACGAGTCAAGCCAGACTTTTAAGTGCGGCAGGAAGTGGCACGGCAGCATGATACCTGTCAGGTCACTAGGGCAGGGAGCCGAGACCTGCTCGCAATGTGATCCGAGTGCTTTTCCAATTCGCACAAGGGCGGACCTTATTGAAGCGATCAACAAGAAGCTCAAGCGGTGAATAAAATGCACCTCCAGTAGTTGAGAGTGAGTTATCGAGTCGAATCTCAGCTGCGGTGATGCCGCAGCCCCCCTTTTAAGAATCAAGAGATTGGCTAAAGCCTCAAATCATGACCTCACTCCTGGACAGCGAAGCTCAGTTCCTGCAGCGCGCTGCTGAGCTTGGCATACCGGATGCGGCGGCACAGGCGTTCAAGAGGCACGGTTTGGCGACACTCAATCGCTATGGTTTTGCCCACGGTCAGCCGGGGCAGCCGATCGACGAGACCCTATTCAACACCTTTTTCGAAGGCATCGCCGGGGTAGGGCAATCGCTGAGAACATTGTCAGCAGCCAGGAACCTTCTGTTTGAGGCCCACGTGTTTATCAGCGCCAGCCTCAAGAACAGGGTTGAAGCGACGGCCGACACAGCAAAGCCGGTCCCGAGAGCGGAACGCAGCGCGAGGCTCGACAGCCTTCGTGCAAAGTACCCAGGTCTCGAAATTTCCAAAGGTCTGGAGCCAGGGCACGCCATGCTGGATTCGGCCTCGCATCAAGCTGAGTCCAAAATACTCAAGTACATGCCGCCCTCCAGGTGTGCATCCAGAGAACAGGAAATGATGAGCAATAAGTCATCGGCCAAGCTCTTGGAAATTGAGGGCTCACAGGTCAAGGTCAAGGAGAACGACAAAGGACTGTTCATCGAGAACAATACCGAGTTCCTGGTCTACCAGGCACTACGCAGGCGCGGCTTGGCATATGAGTTCGCGGATCTCGTCACATTCACCGTCCACCAGAAATGGGTGGATTGGCTGTTCGGAGAACTATCCAAAGAGCAACCGGCCCGGTTCCAAAAAGTTCAGATGTTCCAGATCCTGCGAGCAGACAAGGCAGCCTGGCTTCACATGGCTGACGTGGTAAAGGATATCAGACCGTCAGACGGCACTAGACCTATCGACGCCGAGTTCGCCAGGTTGCCCACGGTACACTCGGTCGTGTTCGCACTCCTGCCCTTGCAGCAGTTCAGCCCAAAGGGAGGTGACCAGAAGGGCGACCGGGCCGGCAAGGGCAAGAATGGCAAAGGTTGGAAGGGCAACAGGCCGTCTCCGTATGACATGCCGCATCAAGACACGTGGTTTAGTCGCAAGGGAGGCAAGGACCGGAACTCCAAGGGCAAAAGCAAAGGGAAGGGCAAGGGCAAGCACCAGCAGGATAACTATGAGGCTCCTCGCATGCCCAAGCTTTTGCTTGGCCTTCACTACAAGTGCCCCACGTCTGGGAGGCCCATCTGCTTTGGGCACAACTTACCCGGGGGATGCCCCGCGGGGAAGAACAACGAGTCCGAATGCGACCGAGGCTTGCACATTTGCTCCAAGTGCCTGGGCTCTCACTCGTACAACCAGTGCCCGCAGCGGCAGACGAACTGACCATCACAGACAGAGGGCCTCTATCCCTCCTTGAATTTAGGAGGGAAAGTTTTCCAGTCATGCTTCGCCCTCGAGCTTTTCGCGGGCACCGCGGGCATCACGGCCGCCATGAAGAGTGTCGGCCTGTCAGCAAGTTTTGGCATCGATAGTTTTCTTTCTCCCTCTAGAAAGGGGCCGGTGATAAGGTTGGACCTTTCACTTGAGGCCTCTCAACACCTTGTTTTCCAGATTTTAAGTTCAGATCAGCTAGTTTTTGTGTGGATGGCGCCACCTTGTGGAACGTGTTCGCGGGCCAGGGAGATCGCCATGAGCACCTCTCGCTACGGACCAAGACCTCTCCGTTCGGATGATTTCCCAGACGGACTGCCGCATCTACTTGATCACGAAGCAGAACGTGTGAAGAAAGCAAACGAGCTGTACAAACTTGTGACTCAAGTGTGCATTAGATGCACGGACAAGCAACTCCCCTGGACGGTGGAGAACCCCTTCTCCTCCTTGTTCTGGCGAACCTCTTTCTGGACCGAGGCGCAATCTCGGTGCAATCCGAGATATGTGCAATTTCATTCGTGCATGTATGGAAGCGATCGCAAGAAGAACACCGCTCTGGCCTTTTTCGGCAAAGTGCCTCTGGACAGACTCCATGCTGAATGTGACAACAGCCACGCTCACAAATCATGGGGATGGTCCCATGAGGACCAGACCTTCTCCACTTCTTTGGAGTCGGCGTACCCGGCCAAACTGTGCAAGCAAGTGGCTCATGCTGTCAAGGATGCCTGCGAGGCAGACAATTTTGTCATGGAACCTCTAGACATGTTGCGGGCATCGCAACTGCCGCTTGCGGCAGAGAAAGTCTCAAGAGCAATGGCATCCGAGGGTACCACGAAGTCCAATCTACCCAACTTCGTTCCAGAATACCGGGTGATTCTCAAGGCATTCATTCCGAGATCTTCCTGTACGTGGCGCATCAAGGATTTCATCGAGCACCCTTTGATCACCCCGCAGGTCACCATTCCCGAAGGCTCCCGTCTGCTGGAAATCTCTCCCAGAACAGAAGGGGAGAACTCCACGATTCCAGCAGAAGCGGACACAATCTGCACATTTGGAGTGCCTTGGAGCCCCGGCGAGTTCCTGAAGGAAGCGGCGGGAAGAGGACACCCAGCCGACGCGATCTCGACAGTGCCTGAACCACTGAAAAGATCCATTTGGGAACTTGCGGCTGACGATCCATCGGCGGTCGCTGAAAGGCGAGCGTCCTTCTTCCGCAAATGGATGTCGGTTGCTTCGGAGCTCTACGAAGAGGAAAAGGCCTTGAAGGACTCGATGGACGAGGGAGTAAGGTCGGTAGTAAAGGACAAGAAGATCCTGCTCTTCAAGGAGATGGTGAACGCATACGAGCTGAACGATGCTGAAGCACACAAACTCTTGGAAGAAGGTGTTGACCTTACGGGCGAAATTCCGATGTCGAACGACCTGCCCAAGAGGTACACCCCGGCCACGATCCATGAGAGCGAGCTCGAAGCTCTTGCTCCGGTCCTCAAGGATGCAGCGCTCTCAAGGGCTCTTGGAGCCGCGGAGGGCCTATCCAAGGAAGTGTGGGAGAAGACCATAACGGAAGTTTCGAGGGGATGGCTCAAGGGACCCATGGAGCCTGATGATGCCGATGCGCCCTCGGTCGTGTCTAATCGCTTTGGGGTTAAGCAGAGGGACAAGGTACGGTGCGTCGACGATATGTCGGCTAGTTTGATAAACGCTACCACCTTCGCGGAGGAAAGGATATCTCTTCATTCCGTAGATGTCATGGCTTCCGCTGTGGTTGAGTGGTGCGACGCCAGAGACGCCGCGCAGAGGCCTCGCGACTTGACCGCTAAGAGCTTCGATCTTAAGTGGGCCTTCAAGCAGATGGCAGTGTCGGCGAGCTCCAGAGACAGGGCGGGACTAGTCATCAAGGACCCGTCTGGCTGCCCCAAGGTCTTTACATCGCTGGCCCTGCCCTTCGGGGCCACTCAGAGTGTATACGCCTTCAACAGGATGAGCAGGGCACTGTGGACCCTAGGAGTCGTGGCCCTCAGTCTCATGTGGACGGTTTTCTTTGACGACTTTGCCTGTTTTCGGAGCCCGCCCTGGAGAAGAGCTCGGACCTGGCTGCAAGGTCCCTCTTCGATATCCTTGGATGGGTGTATGACACCTCTGGCGAGAAAAACACGGTCTTCGGTAGGACACTACACGCTCTAGGAGTCAGCGTCAACCTGAGACATCTCACCAAGGGATCGCTACTCATCAGCAACACTGAGGCAAGAATCAGTGAGCTCGTGAGCGAGCTCTCAAACATTCTCGACAGGGGAAGAATATCGAGATCCGAGGCCAGGCACATGGCGGGGCGAATGAGTTTCGCCGGAGGGCAAATCTTCGGTCGACTCCCGAAGTCCTGTCTTAAAGTATTCTACTCCGTTTTGGAACGGAACTCTACCGCAATTGACGGAAGCATCTCCGCAGCACTTCGGATGTACATTGACATCGCTCAGTTCGCCCCAGCGAGGACGATTCTCCTGGGTCAGAGGCCCTGCGTCTTTATATACACTGACGCGTCCCTGGAACCGACTAAGGAAGGAAACGTCGCGGGAATAGGCGGAGTCCTGTGCGGACCCACTGGAGAGCCCCTGAGGTTCTTCTCGTACTTCCCTAGCTCAGCTGAGCTTGCTGAGGTGGGAATAGACCTAGAGTCTAAGTGCATCTTCTTGCTCGAGTTGGCTGCAGTCTGCTTGGCGTTCAAGGCTTGGGGCGAGGCCCTCAGAGGAATGAGAGTCGTATGCTACTGTGATAATGAAGGCGCCAAAGCCTGCCTTATGACTGGAGCAAGCGCTAACAGAGTCGCAAACGACTTGCTGAAGCATCAAGCCGCATATGAGCTCAAGACGGGGACTGTACCCTGGATCGCGAGAGTCCCGTCAAAATCGAACATCGCGGATGAACCCTCGAGAGTTAGGATCGAGGCTCTCCCAGACTTTCCCGACGCAGTACGGTCCACGGTAAGCGTCGATCTTATAAAAGATGGGGAAAGTTCTCTCCGCTTTCAGTGACCCGATCTGTCGGGACAAAGATCTTGGAATGACTCACAAGGACGGAGACTTCGTCATCCCCACATGGAAAAAGAGAGAGCGATCTGCGTGGAAGATATTTGATTGAAGATTCTTTTATTGAAGATATTCCATTTGATTGAAATTTTCTGCCGGTCCTGTGAGTGATAAGCTTACGTGCGAGGGACGAGTTAGTGTTTTATCACGATCATGGAAAACAAACAAGGAACGTGTTTGTTTAGGCAGAAACGTTTTGCTGCATTGAGCATGTGTGATGTGCCTGCATGTGAACGTTGCTCAAGTCGGAGCCGGGCAGAAAATTTCGAAAGCCCGCCCACCCGCACCTTTTTCTTCAGTCATGCGAGTCTTACAAATTCCAGAGATCTGTTGATTGAAATTTTCTGCCGGTCCTGTGAGTGATAAAGAATCTTGTCCTTGTTGCCAGATATGTTGTAAGCCACTAGCTCCTCCATATAGCCGAGCATGGCCTCTACAATAGCTTGCTGCGCAAAAGGCAGGGCCTCAACCGCATGGTTCATCACAAGGAGCATGGCGTCGTCAGCGACGCGACCATCCGAACTTCGGCAGAGCCACAGCAGGCTTCGGAGGTTGTCGCCCACAATGCTCTGAACGTGGCTTTCCGCAAAATGTGTTTTTCGATTGCATGCCAAGGCTGTACACCACCACCGGCCTCAGAATGAAGCAGATGCGACTGAGGTTTCTACATTGATTCTACATGCACTGCGAGCGAGAGGGATGTGCTGGCTGCATGTGGCCGTGAATCATGTTCAACAAGCCAGGAGGCACTCGCAGAGCTTCTGCTTCTCGGCATCGCCCTCAAAGACCGTTGCGAAGGGTGTTTCCGGATTGTTTCCGACCAGTTTCATCTGCTCGACAAAAGCGAGAATCGTTTCTGGCCTGCACCGCACAAGTTTACGGCATCACGACGTGCAAGTGACTTGCCTCAAGCTACAGACGGGCGCACGGAGGAGGGAATGGAACCGCAGCAAGCTCCACCATTGCAAGTCACACTTGCAGCCCGCAAGAGCGATGCCGACGGACCAGCTTAGGTTAAAGTTCTACTTCGCACAACCCTTTCCGAGCCTGTCCATGCGGCCCATCTCGGCCACGTGGTCTATCAAGACCTCGCGGCACATTGACAGCTTCAAGCCGGGGTCTCCAAGAAAGACGTGGAGGGAGGCAACGGACACCATCGGACGGCAGGCCTTGGGGCTGCGTGTGTGGCGCGAGAGCAGGCGCCAGTTCAGCAGCTCCTGCACCTGCAGCGGGCAGGGATGCACGAAGGATCCTCCGACAACACCCGTTGCGACCTCTGGTCGACAGCCCTGCCACTAGCTACTAGCCACTTCGCAACCAAGCCGCGCTCAAGAACGGCAATAGAGTTGGCCTCAGGCTTCTGCAGCAGAGATGTCGCACGGCACTGCACAGCATGTGTGGGAATCCGCCGGAAGCAACCGAAAGTCCATGCAAGCGCTGACATGCGCCGAGGTACATGAGGAGGTCGTACGGGGCGAAGCCTTCGCAGCCATCGCAGCCCCTGCCCGGAGCATCCGCATCTGGACCTCTGTGAAGCCTCAAGGTCGGAAACAAACAGCCCAGAGACGAAGAGTCGATGGCGGCTGTCTGCCGGTCCATGCTTCCAGTCATGCAGTGAACAGAAACCTCACGTCACAGCCAAAGCACAACAAGCAAAGTGTAAGAAGAGCTGCCTGAGTTGGTTCTGCCAGCTTGGTCGGGATTTGGACCTGTCGCGGGGCAAGGCTGGTCTCTTGTGAGGTCGCTTGCACTAGCTTCTTGTAAACCACGTTCGAGGCACATGTCCATGGACCAGGGCAAAGTAGTACTTCTCTGTCCCTCCTTCTTCCAAGCTGTGCTCGCTTTGGAATTGCCTTTGACCAACATGGGCTCCACTTGCCACTGCTTCTTGCACGTAGGGCGAATTTAAAGTAACATGTCGATGCAGCGAGAAAGCTTCCGGATTTCAGGAAAACCTCTCTTCGTCTTGGCCGCCACCATCACTCCAGATGTCTCCTCGCATGCTCAAGTGCTCTCCGACACAGGGGGCAGACCTCGCCAACACTGAGCCGTCCTTGTCTAATCGATTACAACAACCAGCCTGCATGCAAGCACCTGCACCAACATGCAGCGGGAACTCGCACGGAAAGCATCAGAGAACATCCAAAAACTTCTCCAATTCCAGCACCCAGGCCATAGCCGAAGCAAAATTGAGTTCGATGCAACACAAGCTTCTGACCACAGCCTCTCTAGCAGCCTGATGCAGAAGTTATGACAAGTCGCCCGCGGTGGACTGTCACAATCTCACGAGAGCATGCTTTGATGGATCACCCACCTACTACCATGAAAGCGTAGCAGGAGGACAAACAGCTTCAAGCATCATGAAGTCGCAGATACATGAAAGGTTTAAGCAGCTTGATGACAGCAACGGGCGCAATTCTCAAAATGAACTATTTACTCGAGCGAGACCAACCGGCAGTGCCCTCAAAAGCCACAACCTTCTGGAGGATCGCTGGTGACGTTGAAACATCAAATTGAGGTGCTTTGCCTGTTGGCAAGCATGGGCCCGGCATTTTGGTCGTGTCGGTCCACATAAGGACTCGCAGCACTGATCACAACCGTTCTGATCGGCAACTACACGTACAAGGTACGTCCACTTGTACGAACACTAGTGTCGATATCTCATGAGCAACAGCGCTGGGCATGCGAAAATGCAGGCCCGAGAGTGAAGAGGAAGATGCAAGTGAAAACTCCGTGCACATTCCAGTCCATAAACGTTTCGAACGAGCGTGCTCGTGTCTTTCGCCTTCTGACTCTTGACAAACGGAGGCTGAGCGAGGCTTCTGTAGAGGAGATAGCTTCTCCTGCCACTGCATTACTACATTGATCGCAAAGGATGATGGCCTCAGGAGGGGCAAAACTAGTCTAATTTAGAGCAGCGGGAGAGGGAGGCAGGCAGGGAAAGACAAAGCGAGAGACAGCTAGGAAAAACTTTCGTGAAGTTGAGGTGTCTCGACACGAAATACAGATTCCACTTGCAACCCGGGCGCATATCGCGCACTTTCCACATGTGCAAAGTTGAATCTTCATGTCTTTCTGCAGCACCTCTGCGCATGGACAGAAGCAACTCGAACAGCGTCCAGTGACATGCGCCGAATGGCCTCGGCCCAGAAGTCCCGAGTACCGAGAGCCGTCTCATAATTGAACTTGAGCGCCAAATACTCGTGAATCTGGACCGTATCCTGCACAGCAGTGCTCTACTCATCGCATCGCTGCATCAGGACTGCAGTCTGTTTGTTTGAACATGCTGGTGGGCAAACGAACGACAGTATAAGTAGCATGCTGAAGCGAGAGCCTTGCTGCTGTTCAACAACTGGGTCGGCGTCTTCGCACCAAACTGGCCCACAAGATCAAAAGTAGCTCAGTAGCGCGTCACGGAAGCAAGACTTGGTTCTGGACCACTCTCGGTAAAGAGCTGCTGTTGTTGCCACCGTAGCCGCAGGTGAAGTTCACGGGCTTGTCGACACACAAGAGCTCGTCCTGTTGAATGGCTACCAGAAAAGTGGCAGCTGGGGCTCTGGCATGCCAGGCAAACCGGGCACATTCGACCCCAGGGGACAGGAAAAGGTTCGCACATGCCCTGCGACATGCCCATCTGCACGCCGATCTGCTTCAAGAACTATCAGCCCTGAAAGTATTCCTATTCAGTGCAAACATGCAAGCGGCCCTTTCATCACTGGAGTTTCCACTTCCTTCTAAAAACAGCGGTGAAACAGGGCGGCTCGACAAAAAAGAGGCAAAAGAGCTAGCTGCGGCGCACATGCTTGCCGGTGTTGGCCGTTCAGCACGAACTACGGGGCCTCAGCGACCGATCCACAACAGCAAAAGGCCGTCGCCTAGAGCTGTCCAAGACCACCGGTGGAGCCCAAAGTCGGAGCTCCGGCCGCCGTTCTAGTTCCGTCGAACAACGGTCAGCCCCGGGGCCCCGGGGTCCTGTTGTGTCGCTATCGTGCACACAAAGTCCACAAGTCCACGGTAGAAAGGACCCTACGACGTATGTCGCTGGTCAAAGACGGCTTAAAGCTTCTTGATGCGACGGCCTACACTGTCACTGGGTACACTCCAGTGTCGAAGGCCACGGCCAAGAATCCAGGAGGCGCTGCATGTCGTTGCCGCTGGTCGGAAAGTGGGATTCGCGAAGCAGGTATAACATTTGGTAATTGCGCTCCCCGTACAGCTCCTGTAGGCGGTGAAAACCATATCGGAGTGTATCTTGATCCGGCTCATGGAGATGCGGCCCCCCCACCCCCCCACCCCCCCCCCCCACCCCCCACCATCCCACCCCCATCACCCCACACCACCCCCTCACCCCTAGGGTTTGGGCTATAGGGTTTAGGGCCTAGGGTTTAGGGTTTAGGGCCTAGGGTTTGGGCTTTAGGGTTTAGGGCCTACGGTTTAGGCTTTAGAGTTTAGGGCCTAGGGTATGGGCTTTAGGGTTTAGGGCCTAGGGTTTAGGGTTTAGGGCCTAGGGTTTGGGCTATAGGGTTTAGGGCCTAGGGTTTGGACTTTAGAGTTTAGGGCCTATATTGTTAACAGCGGAAAGCACGGACTCGTTTTCATACTTGAGCCACACGGTAGCGTAGGTAAGATACTAGGACAAACGTACAAAGAGATTAAAAACACCCCCCGCGCATTGAAGCGCAGCGGAGGAGGCGTAACTCTGAACTACGCTACACGTAGGCAGCACTCGCTTTGCGAGGCTAGCAAAAGAAGTTGAAATGCAAGCTCGAATCACTCCACTAAGCAGGTCAGTAAACCAACCCGTCAGGGCGGTGATGCACGGGCGTGCTGATGCGATGGCTGTTGATGAGGAACCAACACGTCAGCGCGGTGAGCTGCAGAAAAACGGATCTTAGACTGAGTCGCTGTTGCGTGCGACTTCATGCATCTCTCGACACGGTGCCCTCAAGACGCGGAGCACCTTCCGGTGTCGGATGCAACGGGCTAGTATGCCCTGTACCATGCTCCATTGGAGTCTTGGCGGTACTCCTCCCAGCCCCTTAGGAACCAAGCAACCTGTTCGACCGGATGCTGCACAAGAACCTCCCGGTTTGTGAAATCGGGGATCACGAAAGGCACCTCTGTGGGCGACAGTTCTTCAAGGTACCGTGCGCGAAGTACTCCCCAGTACCATGCGTCGGTACGGGTAGCATTGCGAGGCATTGGCTGTGATGGGTTGAAGCCATTGCCCTCCTGGTCGATCCAGTTTCTCAACCTTTCAGCAGGGAAGCCTGGAAGAGAAACCGTCAGGTTCTCGAGCTGCTGTTCGATCGCATCATCACATAAGCGAAGATGACGCAATCTGTCATTGGCAGCATCTTGGTAATCCCGTCCACCGCCGTAGTCGTGACGGCGAGGGGAACGTGTGCGAGCACGCCCTCCGGCGGCTGATGCAGATGGCTCACCAGTGGGTGGCCCAGCTGGAGCGGCGATTGGTGCGGGAGCATCACCGACAGCAAGACCTCTGACCTCACCACGTCCGGCAAAGTAGCTGTCCCACTCGTCAGCAGTGATATACTCCTGTGGTGCACGATCGGCGCCAGCCTTCGGAACAGCCTTAACAGCAGGCGGATATGGCGGCTGCACAGGTGTGGCAGCGCTGGGCTTTGGAGGAGGCGGCGTAATGCTTCTTCCGGATGCGGGCCTCGGCTTGGATTTTGCGGCCTTTGGAACAGAAGCGCTCTTCGGACGATCCGTAGATGATGAAGCTGCACCGCCAGGTGAGCGACCTCGGCTTGAAGGAGCCGGTGGGGGCCGAACACTTGGTGCGGCTGCTGGCAGCGACGTCGTTGGACCAGTCCTTCCGGATGGTGTCGGTGGCGGTGGTGGCACACGCATGGCACCAATGGGAGTGGCACCATGCCGGACCATACGGTCTTCCACCTCACGATTAATCCAACCGCGGGTACGCTCGACTGAGAATCAGTTAAACTGTAAAACCCTGAGCGGTCACGCTTTTACTCTTGAACCAAAGGCGCTGCGTCGGTCACGTAGTATGCAGCTATACAATACTATACCGTAGCCTGGGCTCACCAAAGGTGTGGGGCGTTCCTATGTACAGAATTCAACACCCTGCCTCGAAGTCCTTGTGCTGTACTTCGATCGGTCCGCGGTCGGGCATACCTCCGCCCGTGACTGCATCGGCTTAGCCATTGCAAGTCCTTGGGTTAAACACTCCGTGCAACCCACCTTTTGACCGTCCCCCAATTAAGGAGGTGTGTCAGACCGTCCTTGTCCTGACTCGTACAGTAACAAGTACTTCGTCCTAGTGAAACATTCCACACAAACTTCCTGCGTTAGCGCTCATCCTTCTTTTGCGCTTTTCGCTGCTGTGTGTTCCGAGGTGAAACTTTTTCAGTCTTGCCTACACTCACTTCTCTGCCTCACACTCGTACACGATGTAGGACTTACTGACTTCCGAACAACGTTCTCTGTTCCGTGCTGTCCGGCGTACCTGGATCCACATCCATTGGCATGTCCGTTCCTTGTCCGCGTTCCTCATACTGCCTACAGTAGTCTTCATACGATTCTTGTGCTTCTAGGGATAACATCATGTTCCC